AAAATGGCATTACCAATTTTCTTGATAATCTGCTTTTCCAGGATAAAAGATTATTTAGTAGGTATATTACTGCTTGTTTTTAAACTCTTGTAGAGTCTTAAAAATATCAGTGAAAAAAATAAAAAAACATCGTATGTGTGCGCACATATTTCACAATGTTAAAGTTAATAATATATATATATTGACTATATACATACATTAGACTGACCGCGCTTATGCATGCTTTCAATGCTTCTCAAGATGGTGGGTCATGTGTTTTTTTATTTTAACATTATGCAAATAAATGTATTGTGCACATGAAACATTGGTGTCGTGACGTTCATTTTTATTGACATTATCTATGGCATATTTGGCTGCACTGAGAATGAAAGAAATTGAAAAGAATCGTAATTTTCAGTTCTATTTTGTGTATCTTTTAATTTAAGTTTAAGCTCATTCTAAAGGTTTGTTTGTTTGGAATTAAGCACAAAGCTACACAATGGGCTATCTGTGATCTGTCCACCACGGGTATCGAAACCAGGTTTCTAGCGTTGTAAGTACGCAGACATGCCGCTGTGCCACTAGGAGGGGGGGGGGCATTCTAAAGGAATCTTTACAAAAGCATACATTTACGCAAAAGCAAACTTTGTGAATTATTTTTCGTCCCCAATACGTTGACTCTGAACACAAACTATATCACAATTTTCAAAATAACCATCTGCTTATGAGAAATATATTAATATAAAAATAACATTCTTATTCCATTAGCTTACTGCATTTAATTATAAACAGACATGTTTATAACCCAAGGATTTAGCGATACTCGAATAAAGACATGTTTATAACCCAAGGATTTAGCGATACTCGAATAAATTTTTTCGGGTATCGCTAAATCCTTAGGATGAACTGGTTTTCAAAATTATATTCGATAATAGAAAATGTATCGTAAAATCCCAAATAAATTTGTCTTAGATAAGGAAAGATATGTGTAACTTAAGAGAGAATAATTTTCTTCTAAACATAGAGCTGCACAATGGCTTATTTCTGACCTGCAGGAACCGAACCTCACGTTTACCACTTATCCACCGTTGGACAATAGTATGTTATTGATATTAAGCACATAGCTACACAAAGGGCGATCTGTGCTCTGCCCGCCACGGGTATCTAAACCCGGTTTCTGACGGTATAAGTCCGCAGAGTGTAGAGAAGAAAGTTCGTAATGTGACTAAGGATTTGATATTAGACAAGATCAACACCTGTTGTTGTTGTTTTTTTTCCTTCTTGATTGGACGTATCAACAATGTCCAAATAAAACATAATAACAGATTTAAAGTGTTACATCAGTTTGTCAGTCGTTGTTTTTTGTTTTTTTTACTAAAACGTGAGCCCAATAGTCACCATTCTCCCAACCCTCAAATGCTTCTGCCCCTGACATAACTTACTGAGTATAAGAACTTAGAAAAACTCATGAATTCAGACATTTATAGCCAGCTTTATTTACAATTAATTCATGTACACATAAAACCAAATATGGCTTGAAATATCTTGTTTATTAATTATTCCACAATTATTTAAATACTGACGGTAAATCACACTATAACGCAAAAATACTAACAAGTTATATCACGTATACTTAAAGCAACTTACAAATTGTCACTTTAACCGAAGTAAACTTCTTTAAAGTTAAACGCATTCAAGTTATTACGTAATTATTCCACAATTATTTAAATACTGACGATAAATCACGCTATAACACAAAAAATACAAACAAGTTATATCACGTATACTTAAAGCAACTCACAAATTGTCACTTTAACCGAAGTAAACTTCTTTAAAGTTAAACGCATTCAAGTTATTACGTAATTATTCCACAATTATTTAAATACTGACGGTAAATCACGCTATAACACAAAAAATACTAACAAGTTATATCACGTATACTTAAAGCAACTTACAAATTAACACTTTAACCGAAGTAAACTTCTTTAAAGTTAAACGCATTAATTATTTCTCAACAATTCAGTTCATATCAAGCAACACTGTGACTATAATTATTTTAAACATGGTTTTAGCCAGGATTTTTGTATCAAAAGTTTGTTAATTAACCTCATTTTCTTGACAATAACTCCAAGAGAACACGTTTTAAATATAGCTATAAGTACCAGGAAATCACTACACGTGGCTCTCAGTGCCTAGTTGTGCTTAATTATTAACTTTTGTTTTGTGTATAATAGGTCTCCAGAAACTTAGGTTTCCAAACTAAATAATAAAATATCAGAAACAATTTCTACAGTCGGAACCATGCTGCCCAACTTGTATTTTCCTTCTCGTATTTCTCTCCCGGTGGGACAGCGGGAAGTCTACAGAGTTGTAACGCTAAAATCCGGGGCTCGATTCCCCGCGGTGGACACGACAGATAACCCAATGTGGGTTTGCTATAATACAAACACGCACACCTTCTCATATTTAATTATCTTTTCCTCAAATGCACATAACTTTTAATATAGCTAAGAAAAAACCCTTTTATATGTTCTAAAGTTTCTAATTAATACATATCAGGAACTTCAAATAGAATAAATAAATCTTATTGATGCTTTTCAAATACGATACACAGCTGAAAAAACATAAAATAATCAATTCACATCAACTGATAAATATTACGCTAGAAACGCGAAAAAGATTATTTTTACCTTAAAAGATAATCTCCAAACATGCACAGTGGTTCATATCTTCTACTTCATCCGCTTATTACTTCTTCAGGATTTTATTGAGGATCTCGACAGTTCATGTTTACTGATTGAAATCAACATGTTTACAAGCATACATTAATATCAACCAAGTGCCTTCACAACATATAGTAAATATACGTACAAATAGATGGCAGCAGCAGTACGGTAAAACATTTCTCTACCTGATTAAATTGTTTCTATTACAATTGTACCTTGTTTTAAGTGTAAAAAGAGGAAAGTATGTCATTTTTAACTATTTGAAATGAAATAATATTCACTCTGTTTTATAAACGACATTCAAAGTATTTCTCAACTGACGTTTTGTTTGTTTAGAAAACATTAGAAAAATGTGTTTTATGATCAACAAGCTGGGAACATTCTAACTTTGTTACTGCAAAATGTGTTTTTACATAGTCATGAAAACCACTATATAGTCGGTGTAACTCGTACTTTCACATAGTCATGTAAAGCATCATATCGTAGGTTAATTCGTACTTTTACAGAGTCATGTAAAATATCATATCGTAGATGTAAGTCTTACATTTACATAGTCGTGTAAAGCACCATATTGTAGGTGTAAGTCGTTCTTTTACATAGTTATGTAAACATCATATAGTAGGTGTAAATCGTTCATTTACATAGTTATGTAAACATCATATAGTAGGTGTAAGTCGTACTTTTACATAGTCGTGTAAAGCATCATATCGTAGGTGTAAGTCGTCCTTTTACATAGTTGTGTAAAGCATCATATAGTAGGTGTAAATCGTATATTTACATAGTTATGTAAACATCATATAGTAGGTGTAAGTCTTATTTTTACATAGTCGTGTAAAACATCATTTAGTGCAGTTTTTCTGAACAAGATTAAAAATTAACCAACTTTTAGGTATCCTTCCACAGACCTAACGATAGATTTTTATTTCTTTATTTTGTTTTAGTGCAAACCTTCTCCGTTGGCTATTTGGGGCTGATTCTACCAAAGGGATTCAACCACGAATTCTAGCGTTATAAGCCCTTAACTTACCGCTGACCCACCTAGGGACAAATCATCTTGCAATAATTACATTAGACTTACTACATCCTATGTATCCACATATGATCTAATACCATCGTTAATGTGGCTACACATCTGGATACTTTTAACAATGAATTGTAAACGCTTTCACTGCATTATTCAATATAACACATATACAGGTGTGTTCAGTACTTCCGAAAAACGAAAAATTATTATTATTAAGTAATCATGAAATATTAAGAAGTTTCTACGTAGAATTTTCAAGTGTTTTTCTCCCCCAAAGGCAAGGTAGTGGATAAGACACCTGAAATTCCTTTATTGCTTTGATTAACCACTCAAGAGTATGATAACTATGTTTGTGTGTTTTAGTTGCAAGAAAAGTTACTATTTGATTGTGTATTTCATCAACCTGAATAGTCCAGTCATAATATTCCACCGCTCTCCAGTTGCTTCTCTAATTGATTCCCACTGCCTGATCCGAACTGTAGGTACGGCTAAGTTTTCACACACCATTTTTTAGAATGATATTAAGGGAAAAAAAAAAAAAACATTTGTTTCAATTTAAACCACAGCTTGAATAATAAATGTTAAGGTGCAATATATTCAGGTGTTAATGAAGGAATCGAAGAGCGGCGGAATGTAACGACTGGATTATTCGGATTAGTAATATTCCACCGCTCTCCAGGTGCTTCTCTAATTGATTCCCACTGCCTGATCCGAACTGTAGGTACGGCTAAGTTTTCACACACCATTTTTTAGAATGATATTAAGGGAAAAAAACATTTGTTTCAATTTAAACCACAGCTTGAATAATAAATGTTAAGGTGTAATATATTCAGGTGTTAATGAAGGAATCGAAGAGCGGCGGAATGTAACGACTGGATTATTCGGATCAGTATTTCAATATGTTCTTGGATAGTTAAAATGTTACACGCTACGTAGTTTGTTTTATCTGTGTATTTAAGTCCACAACTACTTAACTGATAATTAGAATAATTGCGTTATCTACATATAACATATAATACACAAATTTTACATCGTTAAGAAATCAAGGACGTCATTGTCTACGAACATGCTGGATAATTCTGAAATAGGTTGAGTCCTATATTTTCATATCTCATTTTAGTTCATCGTGTGTTTGTTTTTTGCAATATTCATTAAAGATTGAATACTTTTAAGACTCTTACTGATTGATAAAGTAGTTTATAGCTTACACAGTTTTTCCTGGTTATATTGGTGATAGCCAGGCAACAATCTCTAAAGAGCTTTGTAAAAAAAAGAAAATAAGGTAAAATGTAAGTCGCTAAAGACAATTTTTGTGTAACAAAGTGGGTGTTATAAATCATAAATGGGACATCAAAACCTGCACGATACTATGACAATCCCTATTACGATGGATGCCTCATCTAAAAGCTTTGCCAACAGTACTGATAAGCATTTAAATATTTATGTTTTACTTTTTACTTTTAAATCTTAATAAACAAATTTTTGAGACCTAGCAGGTTGTCAGCTCTCGTCTTCCGAGTCCTGGTCATCTAGATTGATAGCTTGATTGATGCCACGAATGTGGACGTACTGTACTGTTTTTTCTTCGTCAGCTGTTGTCGCATCTTGCCACCAGGGATAAGTAAATAACCCCTCCACATCTTCTAGCAATCTTCCTTTGGTCTCTGGCAGCATCAGAAAAAAGTAGATCCATCCGAGAATAGCAAAACTCGTATAAAACCAGAACGTCCCTGTTGGAATTTAAACACAGTTTCATAGAAAGCATAATATACCACATACGAGCTTTCCGTTAGTTCTTCTAAGTTTTGTTGTTTTTTGACAAACGGTAAATTTAACCAAAACGTATGTCTTTGTAAATAAGTTGTGTACCATCATATATAAAGAGGTGAAATGTGTACTATCATATATAAAGAGGTGAATTGTGTACTAGCATATATAAAGAGGTGAGTTGTGTACTAGACACAACTCACCTCTTTATATATGATAGTACACACTTCACCTCTTTATATATGCTAGCATAAGAATGTGAATATCAACATTGTTCCAGTTGAAACCTACCGTATTTAGTCACCAATTCGACGAAGTTTAAAAACGTCATAGAAACGAAAAGGTTGCCAAGCCAATTGACTGATGTTGCAATGGAGTAGCACGTGCTCCTGGCCCATAGGGGATAAATCTCGGCATTTACTGTCCATGGAGTAGAACTCATACCTGAATTACATTCAAAGTGGGAGTTTAGCCATGATTTTCTGTCAAACACTGAACATTTAGCCTGAATAAAATAAGATGTAAATAGCAATTACAAAAAATAATGAATAATTAAACTTTAAATAAAATAAATCTTTCAAATAAACACGGAATTTTAAAAAAAAGGTCTGTGTCAAACACTGAACATTTAGCCTGAATAAAATAAGATGTAAATAGCAATTACAAAAAATAATGAATAATTAAACTTTAAATAAAAGAAATCTTGCAAATAAACACGGAAGTTTAAACAAATGCGAACTTCAATGTAAGATGGAGATGTATAGATTCTATTAAAAACTAAACGTTGGAAAAATTTAGTTAGTGTCGATAAAGTTTTCTTTCTTGTTCAACTGTTCAACATTATTGTGTGAACTGTTTCTCTGTAGATATATACACTATGATTTCATTTTCTTAATGGAAACGGACAAAGTAAAGTAGAAAGTGAACAGAAAATTGGACAAACTTTTCTTGATCTTAAACTTAGATTGGATCCCTTCTTGTCTGCCTTCTTAGTTTCACAAGAAAAACGAGCACATAAAAAAAACAAGCAAGTGCTAGTGGAATCAGAGCGTTCATAAGTCTCAGAAATGTAAAACTCAGAGCAAGGCAACTCATATAATGTGCACAACTAGAAAGCCCTATAGATAAAACAGTAGCCAGAAATGTTGACAAACTATAACCGTTGCTGTTAATTTATATATATATACTGTTCCATCTGTATTTAACAACATTGTCGACAACCATACATACGTATATAAACATATACAAGTATAAAATGCGAAAATTATAAAAGATGTGTTTATTTATTTGAAGTTAAGCACAAAGCTACACAATGGGCTATCTGTCCTCTTCCCACCATCGGGTATCGAAACCCCGGTTTCTGGGTTTTAAAGCCCCAAAAATACCCCCGTTCCCCCGGGGGGGGGGGGGCAATGATAAAAGAAAGAAATAACATTTTTGGAGATAAATCACCTTTAAAAACTATGCTGGTAATTTATTTTCTTGGCGACGTTTCGAGCAAATGC